GAGATATCCCAGCAGCATAAATGCCTGCCTGGCAAGCACAAAGTCCTGAGTTTGATCTCTGGTACCAAAAAAAATAAAATAAAATAAAAATCAACCACTGGAGGTGAATCATACATATAATCTATAACCTGAGAGGTTCTCTCTCTCACTCATAGATATAGATATATCTATATCTATGAATGAGAGAACTTATATATATCTATATCTATGAATGAGAGAGAGAACCTCTCAGATAGTTAAAGAAGCCATAATTTCCTTGATAAGCTCTTTAAATTGGTTGACAGTTACAGTGACGTCTGGAGAAGGTTAGCTACTTCTGGTAATGTTTCCATACACAATTGTTATTATAAAGGACTTACCTACCTATACCCAGGTCCCAAACCTTCCATCCTGTGCCATTCTACTGAAACAACCTGGGATAATAGCTCTGCATTGAGACTCACCAGCTCTCTTGCTTCCCGAGCTTCTGATGAATCTGGTTGTTTTTCTTTTGTATTCTTGAGACAGGGTTTTGCTATGCAGCTCAAACTCACTATATAGCCGAGGTTGGCCTCAGACGGTTGTTGATCCTCCTTTCAGCCGCCTGAGTGCTGGGATTACAGGCCCAGCCTTTTTTTTTAAACTTCAGCTGTTTCCAGTGCTGCAGTATCATTTTGAGGTGTACATAGTCCACAAATCTGTTTTTTTGTTTTTCTTCTTTAGTACCAGTAATTGAACTGAGGACCTCACACTTGCTAGGCAGATGTTGTACCACTGAACTACATCCCAGGCCCCTGATCTTTGGTTTTGATCTTAACAAATAAATGATTGTTTACTTTTGGAGCACTATGTTTGTGTTTCTTTAAAGGCATAAACAGTACTCAGGAATGTTTGATATATATATTTATTTCATAAGCTTATTTTCATAATTCATAAAATTACCTTTACTTTTTAATTAGAATATTAGAATCAATTAGATTTAATAATTTTTAAGTTAGTTATTGAAGAAACAAACTTTTAAAAATATGTTTAAAAAAATATTGTCATATTTCAACCCTGTCGTACTGGTTGGTGCCTCTTCCTCCCCTTGCCCCGTGGTGAATGCAGCTGACTGCCAAGGGCTCGGAGACAGCAGCCTCGGTGGCAGAGGAGGAGGATGAAGATGAGGAGGCTGCTCCCCCTGTCATTGCCCCGCGGCCCGACCACACGAAGTCAGTGAGTATCTGATAAGCACACTGGGCGGCTTGCACTGAGTGTTTTCTTTCTGCACTTCACCTTTATTTCTAGAATTCACCTATTTTTCTGGCTTTCCTAATTTAAAACTTAGATCTCTCCTCATTCCCAAATTTTGCATTTTGTTTCTCATTTTACATTTCTCTCAAAGCTTTAAAGTCTATCATCTGGAGGCAGTTGAGAGTGAAATTTCAAGGGGAATTTTAACAACAATGATCTCAGCGGCAACTAAGAAGAGAGAGGCTGCTCAGGTGCTGCTCTCCTGTGCTAAGAGAAGAGGCTGGGAGGCACTTGTGGGTTGGGAGGGGCGGCTGAGCCCTGAGGACAGCTGTGGGCTGTTGGCTTTGTGCTGTGGGACTCCCTGTTGACATTGAAATTTATTTTGTGTAAAACTTTTTGTGAGAATTAGGAGGAGTTAATTCCACATCAAGGTTTCTATCTTTTCCTTTTATCTCTTGTAGCAAAAACATTTTTAAGTTGTGCACATTTTGCTATATTATTATCTTTTATTAGCATGCTGTTTTAATATGGTCACAAATTTCATTCATGGGCCTGTATTTTGCAAGGCAAGATTTTAAAAAATAGTTACATCTGTGCCAAAGAATGTTTCACATTTATTCTTAGTTATCTTTTTTTTTTAATAGCCTAAAACTATCATCCATTTTTTTTTTTTTTTTTTTCAGAACCAGGTATTGAACTCAGACCCTTGTACTTGCCAGGCAAGCACTTATTCTACTGAGCCATCTCCCCAGCCCCATCCATCCATATTCTTTAGAACAATAGGAGAGAGAACTTAGTTTTGGGTAAAAATTGAAGAAACAAGTATAGTGCCAGGGAGATTCCCTGAGAGAGCCGAGGAGGAAGCTGGGTGGCAGAGCACTGGCCTGGCGAGGACCAGCGCTGCAGAGAATCCAACAAGGAAAAACAACTCTGAAAATGCTTTTATCAGGCCTCAGTAATCACTGTACTTTTGCAGATTTACACACGCTCTGTGATTGACCCCATCCCTGCACCAGTGGGTGACTCTCACATTGATGGTGGTGCCAAATCTACAGACAAACAAAAAAAGAAGACCAAGATGACAGATGAAGAAATTATGGAGAAATTAAGTACGTTATCTACATTTTACAATATATATATAAATTAACAGCTTTTGAAACGGTTTCCTCCAGCACTGAAAAACAACCCCCCAAAAAAAGCCCAGGCAGATTTTAATTTATGTCTTACATTTTTACTTAATGCAGAAGTAAAAACTGAAAAGAAAAAAAAAGTAAATCTTTTGTCTTTTTATGAGGGCATTGAGGAAAGGTCTCACTATGTAGTACAGGCTGGCCTTAAATTTGTTTATGAAACCTAGACTGGCCTTGAACTCACAGATCCTCCTGCCTCAGCCTCCCCAGTAGAGTGCTAGGGTTACAGGCATGTGCCACCACACCTGGCAAAAATTATTTTCTTAAAGGAATAGTAGCTTTAATTAAAATCCAGTGAAAGCAAAATAACACTCTTCTCTTGTACATTTGGAAGCTATTATGTGTTAGCTAGTGAGGTCAGCCCATTTAGGAGCAGTGCTTTTTCCCACTTGAGCCAGGTCTAAAAACATAGTTGGGATTTTATCAAAGATTTGTGCAGCTGGGTAGATAACTCAGTAGCATAAGTGCCTGCCTGGGAAGTGCAAGGTCCTGAGTTCAATCACTGGTACCAAAAAAAAAAAAAAAAACACTTGTGCATATTTATGCAATACCTGTATCTTAATGGGCACCTACGAGAAAAAGCAGCCTAAATAACTAAACAGTATGACCTGTAGATATGTGGGCATAAATCCTATTCCAGAAAAAGGTGTACTCTTCTTTCTCCCATATAACTCATCATCTGTCATTGTTTTAGATCAAACATTAAAAGTAACATAAAGAGGGCCAGAGAGAGAATAGCAGTGATATCCGATGACATGTCAGTAGCAGTTGTGGTTTTAGAAGGATTTTTTTGTTGTTTGTTTGTTTTTTTTTTTTTTTTTGCTCCAAATGCCTTCAGGGCAGGTTTGGCTGCCTTGAGTTCTGGGGATCAAACCACG